TATAGAGTAAGTGGACGTTTCGACAATATTGTGAACGCCTGCTGTTTTTGAACTCCGTCATTAATCGCAGTGGGGGTTGAAAAAGTTGGGGTATGCTACCTCTACCTCCACGTCTATCTGAACGAGGTCCAATATTGTTTGAAGTTTTCTCATTTTGTAAAGAGTCCTCTGAAGTACGTTAGGGGGCCACGCAAAGAGCATCGCAGTTTTATTTATAGTCACTTGGTTGGTTTTTAATTTCACCTCCTCTCTCTCGTTTTAAAAAAAACAACGACCACCATAATAATTTCTTTTTTAATAACAATAGCAGTTTTTACGTTTATTAAAATTAAAATTATTATAGTATTTCATTCTCGCCTGTGGTACGCTAAAAAGGAAAAGTGTAAATACCGGAAAACCAGTAAATTATAATCAGTAATCACACAATATTGTTATGGTACTTTAATTAGTCTTTAATCCAATTAAGTTAATTCATATACTTTTTAGCTATTGCACATTGCTGGTTTGTTAACTAGGCTTTTAGGACGTATATATCTACATATTTTCTTAAATGCAACTATTTTTATTTAAAAAAAACTATTTATTTTGTTCATATTACTGCCTAAGCGTTATAATAAGTAAAAATAAATACTCATATATGTATATATGTTATTCGTATCGTTATTTATTTATACGTGGGTTTTATTGGCTACATTAACTGGACCTACGTTTTTAATAATTATGATATTTTAACGTAATAGTATACTTAACGGCACCTGAATAAGATGGCATTTAAATTCTGGATCGACCCATAAATAAATCGATGTTTAGCGTGGAATTTGAAAGTCTTCTTTCCTGTTTGCATGTTAGAGGTCTGTCCGTATCGGAAGTAAATAACGCACATTTTTTATTTCGCTATTCGTAAATTGAGATCCCCGAGTGAAGCGACGAGGGCAGAGTATCGGGTGTCTCCTAATGAAACCCCAGGGACTAATATTATAAGGATTCTCCCCATTATTATGTTTTTATGACCACCACGAACCAGCGCGGGTGACCGCCACCGACTAGAGTTCGAAAACTCCTCTCTTTCCCGAATGCCATGCATCCTACACATTACTTTCATATTATTAGACCCTATTCGGACGCCTCAGCCCTCTTTTAATCTTAAAATAAGCGATATATCCCTTTCGATGGAGATAAACGATGGTTTATTTAAAAACATCCACTCGGCCACGCATTTACGACCGCCGTGGCCACTTTAAACAGTTACGGTATTCGATTACAATAAATATCCACATGGTTGGTTGTCGGCCGCGCGAACATACTTTGGCTAAAATATAATACATATTTTATAGTACAGCATCTTTTGGACGTCGGAAGCAACTCGTTATTATTGGACATTAGGTAGGTCGAATACGTGTTTCGGCCAGCGGTTTGCTGGCATTTTCTATGGGAGATCTGAAATGCATGTACCTATATACATGGTAAATGGAAATGTGTGTGAAGTGTGATGATTTCGGGTCGAGTGCCCTCTAATTGTACACGTGTCGGTCGGCGGGACCGGTGAAACCACACGCGACGCCAAGTACACATATGTGACACTCCTTTAAAATAAAACACGGCAAGCGAGTGCGTTCTCATTAATACACATAACGATAATATGAAGAAAAAAAAAATAGCTAAGTGCACGTATACGAAACCGTGTATTGTATGTATAATTATTCGTTTATTGTCTACGGAACACGCCCCGACCTATTCTCTATCGAAAACCCGATCATCCCTTTTCATCTTACTATGTATACTACTACTACTACTACTACTACTATACAATACCTTTATAATAATTTCTAGACATATTTCACCTAATTAAGTCTCCCGCCCATGTCGCTGTCGATTGTTTTTATTGTCGGTTATACTAAAATAAAAGTACGCCCATGTGATGTATGTTTACAGACATATTATGTTGCCTGTACATGATATCGGTCTCCTTACACGGGCGAGGTCAACACTATAGGAAAATTGTGTACCGTAATGTTTTTCTACCGAGAAATGTTAGTAAAACATAAATGACCGGCCAACTGGTTTGGTTGACGGTCTGTAAATACTATCCCCGGCGGTAATGTATTTTCATGATGTCAGAAACAAACAACAAAAAAAAAATATGCTAAACACATTGTCAGTTTATACGAAGTGTTTTTCCACCCGTTCGGGTAACACGAGGAGGGTTTGCAATCTTTGCATACACAGCATTCACATAAATCTGGATTTTGTTAACGGCATGACTTTGTCGATAAGCCGATTCCGGTGATCTTGTTTTTTCAGTTCGTGTCATGTTTATTTTTTTCTTCAACATTTACGAATATTAGAAAATGTACTAACGTTGGGTACTGATTGTCGTCGTTGATTTCGCGGTTAAATTCTATTATTAGGTCATTTTTTTACTCATTTTCCTTGTTAATATAATTCTTATTTTTCTATGGTAAACACTGCACACGTTTTATATCAATGATAAACTTTTTTTTTTCGACTTCACGGTTACTTAGCTTTTACTTTCGCTTAATATGTAAATTGTCTTACGGTTTATACATACTATATATAGTAGAACATTTGAACATATATATATATATATATATTATATTTTAAAATAGTATTATTTTTCGTATTAAAGATAAAACCGATTGGTTAAAATACGATGTATTATATTATGTCTTGTTCACCTTGACGTGACAAATCTTTCCTAGCTAAGTTCTTGCGGTTATGTTAAAAAGAAGTCGAACAAAATACAAATAAACATTCTTCACTGTTGCTGGCTGATAAATTATTATTTAGTTTAGTGATCCATGGTAAAAAAAAAAAGAAAATTATCTCGGACTGGCGTGCTATAATATCGATGCTAATTCAAAAATGTATCTTATAAATGTCAAGGTGTTTTTTTAAACCTATATAACGCACACGCGGTAAGAATGTATTCGATGACAGACTATATAAAAATAGTATTATAGTAATGCAAAATAAAAAATAATTCTTCCTGGTGTTATATTATGCGAATATATTTTATGACAATTGTGTAAATTATTATTTGATTTCACGTTCTAAACTAACTAAAAACACAAATGTGTAGTTTGGTAAATTTATTAAATAGTTTTGAATGCGTTAAAGCTTTCGTGGATTGATATATCATTTGGATGATTTTCGAATATATCCACGTCAATAGTTATTGGCCGACGTTTTGGACTCTTTGCAGGGTCCATATCGCCCTGAAGATGGACTCTGCAATGGAGTCCGAAACGTTGGCCTATAACTATTGACGTGGATATACCTATCAGAAAATCATCCAAATGTTATTTAATAGTTGCTTTACTAAACATTTAGTTCCAACTATTAATTTATTAGTCATAATTTTAGCTGATCCAACTATACATTTTGTCCCGGATCTCCTTGTATTTATAATATTTATAACAATTACAACTTTATAATATTTCAAAACTCAGATAACGTATATTATATATTATATAATGTCTTTTTTATTTTATTCATTATTATAGTACGCCTATTGTGGAAGATCATTATCCGACCGTTTCTTTTGCATGCCTAAAGCTGAAATGTTATACCCTAAGGGCAAAGCTACTTTTTTATTTTATTTTGAAACGTTGCGTTTCCGGCGACAGGAAAAAAATCAACAGACGCGATTGTTTTTAAATGAAAGCGTTCGTCTTTTTTTATTATTATTTTTTTTTACGTCCATCCGCTCTATCGTGTTCTATTGTTTGACGAGGAAAAAAAAAGCTGTTGTACCCCATTACGTACTTTCTAATATCCTTTCGTCGCGATGACATCGTATAGTCTACCTACTATACTATGTACCTACAGTGTAATTTTTTATATGTACAACTAGTGCTGGAATAGAGTAAAACAAAGCAGAGGAAGGCAATTATATGTTTAAAATTTGAATTCCAAATAATATTTTACACAATGTATATATGCAAAAAAAAAAAAAAGCTTCTTTAAGTCATAATCAATTGGTGAATCTTTAACTTTGTAATTGACGATATTATTTTAAATACAGTTATAAAATTTAATTGAAATCAAGTACAATATATAAGATAATATTTTATCGGTAAATAATATTATTATCTTATTTAAATTTCGCCCGACTTTGGTTGTCATCTATATAAAACGAACAAAAACAATTGTACGGAGATGAGAAATAGTTCTGCTCATCGAATAATGAAAAAACTCATAAATGTTTGATAAATAACCAAATGATACATAGCATTGTTAAATTATTACTTAATTTTTAATCTCAAGCGACGAGAACGGTTTTGAACAAAAATATACATATTATTTTGATGAAAAGTTTTTTAAAAATGTTCAACTCCCGAGTGCTCCGACTTAGGCGTATCGGCTTTTGCGCCATTTCGCGTTTCTATGGAAAATTAGAAGTAGAAAAGCTCTATTGTGAAGAAGCTGGACGTTCTTGACGCGCCTTCTAAATTAACTCATTCAATAAAGTGTAAGTCTGTGTGCCATAGGATTATAACAGCGTTGTATTAGGACGACAAATTCTTGCTCGAACGCGCCTCACCACGCTCGGATCGTCAATCACGTTTAACCCGAGTAAACGCCTTAGGCCCTGAGGTGACGCGACAACAATATATGTGTACCGTCAACTTTTGGCCTCGCCGTTTGACCGTTAAGGAATATATTGTTAACAATAATATATTATTGAACTCGGGTGTTTTTTTTTTTAAATATTTTTTTTTTATCCGGTTATTGTACTACCTATATATAATGCGGCGGCGGCGGTGTTTATCAACGTCTTGTCCCGTGCGTGCATTATAATAACAACAACATACATGCGAGGCTTCGGTAGGGGCACGTCGCATGTGTACACTGTTATACAGTGTGTGTCAGTACACGCCTACATACACGGTGAGGGTACCGCACGTCCACGATCGATCGGCTGTGGCGGTCAACCGGTTACGCGCACACAGTCAGTATGTGCGTGCGTGCCGCCTCGTCGACGTCTTGTCGTTTGAGCCTGTTGTAAATGTGTGTTATTTTTTTTTTTCATACTTACTTTTCGGTGCTTTTGCGTTGGTTTTTTTGCCGCCAGTTTTCGGCCTGATACGAGTGTTCGAACCGAACGCCGCAAATGACGTCGCCTTGTGAAAATGTAAAGTCGAAAAATTCCGCCTCGAGGTCTAGTCTGAAATAACGGTCACGGATTATGATAATATTACCAACTGGTTTGACCGACTTCCAAAAGGGTAGTTTACAATTTACCCGCAAAAGTGCGCGGTTGTCCCTCGCCCGTGCGACTTGAACCGTACTGACCACCAACCCATATGAATGTAGCAAAGAACTATATTTTCCTCGACCCGTGGGTCTCCGATAGTTAAAACGCGTAACAAACGCTTCAGCTAAAAACGGCCAAAATTTGAGTACATTGTTGTTAATAATATAGTTTGGAAACATAACGAATAGAAACGCATAATATTTTTTTCTAGTTATCGTTGTGTATGTATTTTATGACAACGGCGTGATAAGACTCAATCCCGGCGACCGTAAAAACCGTAGACGTTATTTCAGCCTCGACCGCGTCGCCTTGTTATCTTGTGGTCTTAACGTGAAAAGTACATGTTATTGTTTTTAATGTGTTTGTCCGCGTGTGTTCAACAACAGAACCCATGAAGGCGACGCTACAATGTTGATAACGCGGTATACGTCTGTGCTTATAAAGCCTATAGGAAGTACCATGGTGTCTCCCACGTACGTCCCTCCCCATAGGTGAGTCGACAATGGTTATTTTCTATTGTGTAACATTTGCCTATTTTGCTGGACCGAAAAACAACAAACAGTATTCATAATACTATAAATATAGACTCTATATCATAGAGCGACTGCCGCTTAGCTTTGGTTATACTAATATTGTGTTTTCTTCTTCTTCTTCTTCTGTTACGCGTAACGCGTTTTTATGATGATCGGCCTAACCAGAGATTATCTCACGTTCGGATGCGGACGTAATCACTTTACGAGAGGTTACAAGTTTTTTTGAGCTGGTTTGTTTTTTTTTTCTTACGCGTACTGAGGGTTTTAAATAATAAACTACGTCCAGAGTGCATGACGCCTGCCGTCTAAAGCGAATTAATAATAATGCTCGCCGGGTGTGTGTGTGTTTAACGACGCAAGATTATGTTTGTACGACAAATAAGCATCGGTCAAGGGCTACAAAAAAATAATACGTTTGTTTTCGCGTTGCGCTTCTGGACCGTTCGAAAACAATATAATTCCTATGCATTACCATCTGTTGTTAGCGGTTTTCAATTAACTGTTTCGATCATTTTCATCGCACCGGTGGCGCCTTCTGCACTGCCCAGACTTACTCGCCGTAGATGCCTTTACTGACATGTGTGCGCGCGCTACCAAAGGCCCGTGCAGCGGTGGCGATGGTGGTTAATTTATACTGCACCGGTCTCTCTCGTGTCCAGAACAGATGTTGGCCAGTGAGCGCCGGAGGCAGGGTAAAACTCGGTCGCAGATCATTCCGGTGCACCGCGCGCTCTTTGTTCGCGTGCGTCCACCGTGCTTGTGAAATTAATCATTTACGCACGCCGACCTATCGTACACACGATGTACGGTTTAATAATAATTATAAGAAATACAACACCTATTATGTACGGCAATCGGGTCGGGTGAAGGTTGAAAACTACACCTCTCTCGTGCGCGTTGCATGACAAAATAAAAAAAGGCCGTCGTCGGTCACGGTTGATTTTTTTTCGGTAGGCAAAAAAGGTGGAATTATTTTGCCGGTGTACCGCCGCGCCACTCGGCAACGAAGAATAATGTGTTATAATGAACATAATAATAATAATAATATAGGTGTACACATAGTGGAAAATAACACTGCGACGCGTTTTCAACAATCCTGTTCGATGATTCTGAGGAATTCGGGGTACGCTCAGTATTCCAAATTGGATCCGCCGCCGTGCAGACGTCGTGCATTCCTCTGTACAGAACATATTATACTAAGTGTTTACAAAAAAATAACGTTTCATAATAACCGTCGGGGTATCGAATTTTTTTGTGTGTACAAAAGCTTGTATTTGCTGCAATTTTTTTTAAGGACGGTGGTTTTTACTCTATTTTTTCTCCCGACAATAATACAAAACCATAACACGAAAGAAGACGTTTTGAAAACGTATTGGTCGCAATAATAAGAGCCTCGCAGTTTGTAGCAATAATAATAATACAGTAGCCTAGCACATTATATAGACTCACCCTATCTCCCCCCCCCCCCCGTTTCTCTGGTTTATCGTGTTATATCGACAACATTCAATTAGACGCATGATAATGCATTCCAATAGAGTCGTGCTTTGATGTAGAAACTGGCATATGTTTCAAATACGTCCAAAAGCCGTCGCGTTGTTCACTTCTTGTGTTTGATTAGGCACCTCGACAAAATAATTGTGTTTAGAGCGGGGCGCACCTACGTCTCTTAAGCCCGCCATAATAGAATGAAATATCTATGTAAACGTTCAAGTGAAACGTGCTTAACGACTCTGTGTATAAACCGATAAAGGTGTTACATAATCCAACGACTTAAGACCTGACAACTGGATTTGAATATTAAGAGGATAGTTCATTGTTTGCATTATAACAGTAACTTTTTTTTTCAAAAATGGCCAAATCATTTTAGGAAAAAAACACTGGTAAGCATAGCGTCTGAGTAATCTCTAAAATTGCAAGAGTTGTGTATAAAAAGCAACACTAATATGAAATAACTGTTGCTTTAGTCGTCTTTAACATTTTGATATTTTAGTATAATTTTTTTAACTTCATTATAAAGCAAATTGGCGAGATAGTGATTGTCCCTTAAGATCTCCAAGATTTTGGGCCACTTGACCACCTTGGTAAATCTGTTATTTCTATATTAACTTATCAAGAAGGGTTGATTTTAATTTAATTAGCAGGCCAAATTGTGTTATCTCCCGGGCTGATGTTGTATTCCAGTTCATCCTTGGCCGGAAGGTATTAAATATTGATTTTTAAAACTAATTCTTACAAACAAATATCATATTTAGCAATCATTAGTAAAAAAAATATCTATCAAGCCAGCTTACAAAAGGATGTGTTTTGAAAATAAACAATAACGAACTATAATGTAACTTAATCGATTTCCAAAGAAAACTAACCCTAAGTTTTCGCCGTATCTAGGTACTCATTATTAGGTACTCAGTAATCACACACACGCGTACAAGTAATTATGAGTAAGTATAGTAATTAATGGTTAGATTCAACGTGATAAGAATAATGTGTGTTTAAAAAAATATATTTATCTGGTTCTTGCATGCTTTTATCAAAACGACGAACAATATTGTGAAACGAAATCGCGCTTACGTCACCTCTTAAGCCGATAATAACATAATATTTTTATTGTTGTTAGTATTATTGTGTTTAGTGCCTGAATTGGAGTCGCCTAGTAATTACTGATCCAAAACCGATGGTCATTTCCATCCTTAGGCAAGGTCGTTTGTGGTTTTAACCCGATAAACGCGATATCGTCGCATTATGGCGTAGCGTTGGTCAAATTGTATTTTAATTAGGCGATTTGCTGTTATTATAGCATTATTATTAATTTGTTTTTTATTGTTCTTATAATTTTCCACCGGTATTATTTTTTTTTTTCGGAAATCCTACAAATGGTTAACGTTGTGGAACAAAGACAATACAAAAACAGCGTCGTTAAAATTTACTTTCAAAGTATTTTGACGGGTGAAAGTTTGCGTCTGGCCTTTTTGTTTATTTTTTGTTCTTCGAAATCTGCCTTTTCCCCCGTGACCCGCAACAACAATATAAGGGATAATGATGTATTTAGAAAGGGCAATACGTTGCGACAGACCGATTGTCGATGCTGTGCGTAGGTACCCACAGCCCACAGGGATTCTCAAAATAGTCCACTGGCGACTGTTATTATGTGCAAATGTCACGGGATAGAACAATGAACGTTCAACGACGATAGCATCATGTCTAAAGATATTTTTGATCATCTTAATCGTTCGCTTTGTTGCGTTACAAGTTCGTATGAGCGTCGCGTCATCCTTGAAATTGGATTTACATAGTAATAATGATAGAAATGACGATACCGAGTATTACGGTAGAGAAGATTTAAGTACAGTTTTAGAGTTTGTATTGTTTTTCACGTGTTCATTGTTTGTGAATTTTATGAGAATCCGGAGAATACTGTTGGCAATCGAGTCTTGTTGACTCATCATCCGGTGGTAATTGGTATGTGCGGTTAACGACAGTGTTGCTGATTTGTCATAATATTTGTTCGCATTATGGGAGCTGGCTACTGATGTTTCAACAGAATTCTTCATCTGTCGTCAAACGATGAGATAAGACCTCCCTGGTTTGATGTGCGTGCGTTTGCGTGAATCACCGCCACCCGCAAATACATCAGGGTATTATTATTTTTGCTATATTATTTTCTCACGGCCAACTCAATAATTATGATTCGAAAAGTGTTAAATGTTTATTTTTTTTTAGTTTCGATGCGTAGCTAAGAGGTATAGTTTCTACAATAATATGTTTTTATTTTTATTTTTTGCACCCACAATAGCTTCTAACCCACCGAACCGTTGTCTTCGTGTAGCAACTCTATAGATCAAAAATCGTACATGTAAGATACTTGATTGGGCCAAACATTTTCAAAATGTATCCTTTTCCCTTTAAATAGACAATTTTTTACATATGTGTTCTATAGTTTTTCCTAACATAAAGCCCTAGAAAGAACAAAGCTCTATTAGAATATTTAGCTCAAAATCCAATCTAGGCTCGAGGTTATTATTATTATTGCTATAGCCAATAGTAATCGTTTTCAATTCAGCACTGTTGTCCAGTGTGTCCGGTAATAAAAATAATTTACTGAAAAAATATGTATTTTTTTTTACATAATAGCATCCTTGATATTTGTTTTTCTAGTACACCGACAAACAGTCCGTTAAGTTCAATAATGACGGAAGTAATTTTCCCAGTATATTTTGTACAATATATTGCAAAAGGACAATGGGCGTTATTAAACAATAGAACGGTACCTCTGTAATGACCTTGGACAAGCAGAGCAAATGACAGGAATATTATAATCGCGTAACGACTAGGGAGGACCAACAATTTCTGGTGGAGATCCAATGTAATTGTAATTGTTGGTTAAGGATAATAGTAAAAATAAAACGTGTTCGGCGTTTTAGCACGATGACAGTTTTGATCACGTTGGCCGGTCTTTTGGCATCGTACCGTTTTATAAAAAGTATTGTTGGTTACACGATTTCGCATAATGTCTTGTATACCGTGTAAACGTATAACGTTATGTGAATATATTCGTGATTAGATTTTATTATATATCTTCGCCGACATTCTCCGCAGTAGTTTATTACACGCCATCATCGCCCAAGAGAGTATGTAAATCATCGGCTTCGCCAACGACAGACGGCCAAAAAACCAGTTTGGATTTTTTTTTTTATATATACTCCTGACACTTCAAAAAATAGTAGCCGTAATTATAACCACGCGAAACAATGCGGACGATGTGACTTTTTAGAATATCGGGCTATATTATATATAATATATATATATATATATAACGTCATGAAGGTGCGTGCGCTGTGTAGTAAACGTTTCCATTTGCTTAGATAACAATATTATTATAATAATAACATAGTGTAGTAAACCGCCAGAATTAAATTGCATATAGTTCTCAGGCGCCGCGCCGTTCTCATGGTATGGGTGCC